GCACCCCACCTTCTAGAAAACAAATCTGACAACACTCGGACTATCCAAAATATATCTGGAAGCGCCCTACCTCTGCAAAAACAAATCTAACAGCGCTTGGACTATCTAAAATATATCTAGCATTGTCCCGTCTTCCGGAAAACAAATTTGATAGCGCCTGGACTATATAAAATATTTCTGACTACGTCCAAACCTCTTGAAATACACGTTTATCGTTCTGCAATCATCTGACACCGCCTGCACACCTTTCCTTGCGCCATGCCTTCTATCCGGGCACATTCTGCATCAGCCCAGACAACTTTCGCATAAATCTAGGCTACTCCTACAATACCCCGGGCAACTTCTATAGTAGTCGGAGTGATTTCTACATCAGTTCAGATGACTTCTATGTTAACTCGGGCGACTTCTGCATCAACCCATACAGCTTCTGCATCGGTTTGGGAGACTTATGCATCTCTAAGCTACTTCTGCATTAGTTTGGGTGACTTCTGCATTAACCTGGGCAACTTTCGCATGAGTAACGACTTCTTTATTAATTCAAGTGCTATCTACATCTATCTGGACGCCCCTGGCATCCTTACACCCTATACGGGCACCCCTACACACTATTAGGGCGCCTTGCACACTATCCGGGTTTCAATTGAACTGGGTGGCATGTAGATCTTCGATCACAGACAATCGATATTTGATCGATAATAGCATATGTGATCTAAGAAAACAACAACTTAAGCTCCTAGACGCTCATCAACTCTGAACTTCATTTGAGCGGCCCAATTCTTGATTTTCTAATTATAGTTATAATTTTGTGGGGGTAACAAAGACAAAGAACATATGTTGTGTTATATAAAATATGTGTTGTGTGGATTATATTTCGTGCTAAAATCAACATATATTATGCTAAATACAATTATATAATGTGTAATATTATATATTGTATTAAAATTTATTGTGTGACTTATATATTGTGTAGTGTTACATAATTTATCTATATGGCATTAAAATCATAATCTATTGTGTTAAAATCACAATTACATTTTGTTACATATAATTATATTATAATTTATTATATACTCCCTCCGTCCCAACTAAATTGTCTTATTTAGCTTAGGCACGGATTTTTAGGTATTGTGTAATTGGTAAGTAATTAAAAAGTATATTAGTGAAAATAATTATAATTTAATAAAAATAATTACAAATTAACATTAAGATGACTAAATAGTTTAATTAAAATAAAAAAAATCATAAATTATAAATTTTAAAATGTGATTAAATTGTATAATAATATTTCCAAAAAAGAAAAAGACAAAGCATGTGAAATAGACGAAAATAAAAAGAGTTAACAAATTAAGTGGTACGGATGAAGTATTACTCTATGTCATCTAAATCTGTACTCAATTTCTTTGTTAAATACAAAGTGGATGATTACTTGATGACGAATAGAATATATTAATATTTGCTAATTTTTTATATAAATATATGTTAATTGAATTAAAATATATATTCTAAAATCACAATTATATTTTGCAATATATAATTATATATATTGCTATTAAAATATTTATTATATAGTATATTAATATGTGCAATTTTTTTTGGGAAAATTGTAATTTTTATCCATCAAGTAGGTTCAATTATCATTTTTATATATTAATTTTTAAATTTTTTATTTTAGGACACTAAGTACAAAAAATCGTTGTTTTTATCCTTCGATTGGGTGTCTTATGTTCAACAATTAAACAATCAGCAAATTTTGGTCATGCAAAACATGTTGCGTGAGCAACAAAACCTTATGCAAAATCTGCTAGATCAAATTTTATCAAGGATTATTCTGCAACCTACACAATCACCGCCAGGACTGTCGTCATCCAGATAACAAGCAGATTTTGTAGGGCCTTCATATGTAGACAGTACCTTTCCAAGTGCTACTACTAATAGGGTTGATAGAGGAAAGACTTCTCTCACATACCCAAGTAATGTTCTATTGGATGTCTTAGCCGAGCCAGCCTTCTCTAGGGAAGAGAGGTTGGGGGACAGACTCATAATCCCATCCCAGCCGAGCCAACCATCCCCAGAAAAGAAAGATTGAGAGGACATGCTCATAATTTCATCCCAGCCGAGCCAACCGTCACCAGAGAAGAAAGATTGGGAGGACAGGCTCATAACCTCATTCCTGTATTCGACCCTGTTCCACCCAGAGTAGATCCGGAAGACACCGCTCAAGTTTTGCGGGTGCATTTCGGCATGAATCCGCAAATGGGTGAATAGGCCGGTGTATCAAAGGCCATTTCCAGAGAGAATCGTCAATGAGTATCCTCTCCCGAGGAATTACCGACCGCCAGACTTTCATGTTTTATCAGGAGAAGACGGATCCTTTACCATAGAGCATATGAGTCGTTTCACAACAGAGTTATGAGAGGTCGGTAATAACCCTTTTTATAAACTCTAACTATTTGGTTTGTCTCTTACCAGAACAGCTTTTTCGTGGTTTGTCGATCTACCACCTGGACAAATACAAACCTGGGAAGGTTTGAAAGCGGCCTTTCATGCAAGGTTCTTTAATCCTCTTCCAACAGTCTCACTCACAGACCTTCTGGAGATCAGGCAAATGCCGGAGAAGACCGCCTACCAATTCATAGAGCAGATGCGATTAAAGAAGGGACGTTGCCCGACAATCATTGAGGAGAGCGAGATGACCAATTTGGTAGTCCGAAATATGCATACACAACTGCGGGAGGCTTTAACGGCCCACGACGTTCAAGATCTGGCCAGTTTAGCATCCAAGGCAGGGAGGTTAGAATCCTTTTTCATAGAAAACGATCACGACTTCTGTCATGGGGGAGGTGCTGAAGAAATGATAGTGCAAGATCGACCAACGCGCAGGCCAACACCAATCCGCGATAAATGGAGGTCGGGTACAACGTAGCCTCAAAAGATGAAGGTCGGATCTGAAGCTGACGTGGCCTCGGATGACGGCCTGCTAACTCCTAAACATCATGAGAAATGACGCTTAGGAGTCTTGCGGATGAGGCAAATTGTTACGCACAAAAGATAATAATAATAATAATAATAATAATAATAATAATAATAATAATAATAATAATAATAATAGCTGGATCTTAAAGGAAATTATGACATGAAGTCCGGCGGAAAAGGAGAAAATAGGCACTCAGGTCGGTTGGTCCACGGTCGGTTGGTCCGGTCGGTTGGTCCGCAGTCGGATAAGCAGGTCGGTTGGTCCGCAGTCGGATAGGCAGGTCGGAAGGTCCGCGGTCGGATAGGCAGGTCGGAAGGTCTACAGTCGGATGGGATGGTTTGCAGTCGGTTGGTTCGCAGTCGGTTGGTCCGCCATCGGTTGAGTCGGCCAATACGGAGTTTGGACAAAGCGAAGGTCTGTTAATTAGTCGCCTAATTAAGTGAACAGTAGTTCAGTCGCTTGGTTGGGGTGACCATTGAATCGTCTGGAGAGATCATATGTTGGTCGCTTGATGGGGTGACCAATAAGTCGTTTGGTTTAGCGACCAGTTAGTCTCTGGAATGGTCGGTCGGGCCAGTTGAGTTCTGGAATTGGTAGAAGTGTTTGGCGAGACGGTGTAAGACACGTGTCGACAGAGAAGGACTTTGTGGACGGTTGCCGTAACCGTCCAGACGACATTTCAAAACATTTCGTTGTGGGCGGTTGACGGCGGTTGCTGGCGACGGTTCTGAAACGTTTTTTTGAAGGAATATTTAAGGATTTGGATTTATTCTGGAAAGGCATCTTCAATCATCTTTAATCAACATCAAATTCAAGAGAATTGTTTTTGGGGATCACCACTTTATTTTTCAGTCTGTATTTTAAATTTCCTATTTTATTTATATATCCTACGGTGTTTAGAGATTCCTAATCTCAGACACTAATTATATCAAATTTGAAGATAATTTCCTATTTTCGGATTTTACTTTTTATTGTTGAAAAATCACATCAACATATACTTTACCTAAACTCTCATATCTAGACTAATATGGACAAACTACATGAGACGGAGGGAGTAATATTTTCATAAAATATCATACTCCCTCCATCCGGCTCGATTCAAGGGTCTCATTTATGTTTTGCGTCATTGTACTTAAAATTAAAAATGTTCTTATATTTATATAATTTTTTGCACAAATATCATTATATTAGTATTAGAAGACACTAACAGAAGTATTTTTGTCAGTTTTCCTTAATTTGTACTACGTTTTGATATAATAATTAATATTCAAATATCAACACCCAAAAAATAAATGAGATCCTTAGAGCCGAAATGAAGTGTATTATAATACTTTAAAAAAAATTCAAAAAACAGACCTTAGTGTGTGTTATATACCCATACCATATTTATCGAACATAAAAATTTCAAGAAAATATATAACGTGACACTGACTATTTAATTAAATATACAGTAATACATTAACATTTCCTCTACGACCGTGGCATTAACATTTCCTCTACGACCGTGGAGTAATTGGTTCAAACACTATACTTTTAAGTTTTATTTGCCATATATTATTATTTAATATGATTTATTTTGTTAAATTTAATTTAAAAGCTATTATCTTCGATCCAAAATTTATACAGACCACACTCGTCAAATCAAATGCTCAAATTCCCACATTAAAAAAATAAAAATAAAAATCTCATTTCACACCCTATATTATTATTATTATTATTATTTACATAACTCTTTTTACAGCACATCAATTTTTAATTATTCCCTCCTTTGTTGACTTTTGGTGTCCCACAACTCCTTCATGTTTCCTAAATACTTAAAAGCAATCCCCAGTTATTTTAGTTAGTGTAAGGGGAACCGGGACTCCGAATCCCAATAAATTGACACCGTCCGTATAACAACTTCATCAACGGTAGAGATCAACCCAGGCAGGACAGGGTAGCTGGAGCCCCGGTCCTGCAAAAACCACCCTATATATATAAAAAAACCTGCACAGAAATCAGGCAGAGAAGAGAAGCAATCCCCGCCATGGAAATCATCCCATTCGCCAGAAAATGGAGGCGATCGAGGGCCTACTCCAGGCTCTCCCCAACCAACAGAAGAAACCTCAAAGTCGCCAGGCTCGGAACCGCCGACGCCGACAGACAGAAGCGGCGCCCGTCGTGGAGGCTCCGGCTGTCCCGAAAGCTCCGGTTGAAATCGGTGGCGCCGCCGGCGAGGCTGTGGAACAGATTCAGAAACGCATACATGAAGATGATGATGAGACTGGCGGAGGTGTCGGGGACATCCAACGGCGGCGACGTGTTCGGAGACAGACGGTCAGGGTCACGGTCAGGCATGACGTATAATTATTCGAGGGCTGAGTTCGAGAACCGGCTCGTCCTTGAGATATGTAAATCCATGGCGGCTTCTCTTGAATTGGGATACCACAAATAATAATACTCCCTCCCTATTTGCTTTGAATATTTTTTTTTTTTTAATTTTTTCATAGTAGACTAGGGATGAAAAAATTTATCGAACATATCGAAATATCGACTTATCGTACCGTATTGTGTTGAAAATATCGAAAATTTTGGTACGGTATCGATATGAATTTTTTAAAAGCTCTGTATGAATATAGACTATTGAAAATTTATTGATTTTTTCATAGTAGTTTTTGGGGGAAAATGGTGATATTTATTAATTTTTTTTAATTATTTTGAAATTTAAAATTATATTTTCGGTATAATCGTTATATAGCGGTATCGTATTGAAATCAAAATTTTTGGTATAAACAGTATATACTTACCTGTATTGTACCGAAAGTTTCGGTATATTAAAACTTTCAGTTCGAAACGATACGATACCGATATCAGTATCGATCGGTATTTTCGATACGGTAGGATATGCAAGGACAAAAAATATATATATATATATATATATATCCTTTAGGTATAATAGCTAAATTAACAAACCGTAAGCACTCTTAAACGCGCTTTTACGTCTTTCTCTTCCGTTATGTACGTCTAAAAGCGCAATTTCTTAAGCTAAGTTACGTTTCTTGATTGTTTAATTAATTTTGATTATTGTATTATTGAGTTAATCTTATTTACTATTAATAATGGTAGATTATACCAAACATATATATTTCTATCTATCCAATAATGATTGGATTAGATTTCCACTATTCATCCAATTTTTTTTTTCTAAAAAATATCAAATCAAACACCTATTTTTTATTTTTTATATTATATTAAAAATTAATTTTACATTCAAAACATCACATCAACACCTATTTATATCACATCATACAACTATTCAAATTTAAAATTTTTATTATTCAAATCTCAATTCAAAATCTAAACCGCCAACAAATAATTAATATTACATGTTCAATTGGTGGTTTTATTTATTTATTTATTTATATATTTTTTATTAGGAATCATCTTTCATGTGTCTTTTCCCACATGAATAAAATATTACAAACGATATTTAGGTTTCGTAGTTTTCAATTTTTATTTTTTACTATATATATATTTAAAAACATAATATTCAATACTTATTTAATATTTCGTTGGTTTCATAACAAATGATAGTTTTTATTAGAGACATTTTATTTAACGTAATAATATTTAATTAGTTAATAATAATAATAATAATAATACATTATGATGTTGTTTCATGTAATTTGTATTATTAGTAATTTTGAAATAAAAATTAATATATACGATTAAAATAAATTTAAAATATATATTTAAATATTTTAAAAATTATATATGTAATAAAATTTTATATAATATAAATAAAAAAATTTATTTATTTATAACTAATATAAATTAATTTTATAAAAAAATATATAAAATATTTGTTTATTGATGAAAAAAATAGAAATAAAAGAGTTTTAAATAGATCAACATGATGTATGATGTTATATGTGTTATAAAATTAATTAAATTAATTTATATTTATTAAATATATTTTAAATTAATAAATTTTACAAATATAAAAAGATATCATTTGTTAGGTGACAAACTAAAATAAAAATTTTATCATTTATTATAGTACAAATGGAGTATAAAATATCAAATCTAATAAATATTTTGCCTCAATATATCAAGATTATATAATACTTAATAATTTAAAATTTATTTCATCTAATTGTAGGTGATAAATGAAAATTTATTTAGAATATACCATCTAAAAAATCAGTAAAATAAATTACTTTGTTCTTTTAATAAAAATTTTCAATATATTTTTAAAAAAAAAATTAATATATTATATACACTCTTTAATTTTATATAAAACATATATAATTTTCTGAAAAAAAAAATTATGATACTGGGATTAATATAATTTATTTAATGGAAGTTGTCTATGCATTGTCTCGTAGGGGTGGGCAAAAAATTTAAACCGAATCGAACCGATCCGTCGAACCGTTGAATCGAACTGATCCAAACCGAATTTTCGGTTAACTGAGTAAATTCGGTTCGAATACAAATACTGCATATTTGATATTTGTACAGTTCGGTTCGGTTAACCGAACCTAATACATTATATATTTATATCATTATATTTTAAAATTTATATTAATAATTATATTTGGTTCGATTACGGTTCGATTCCGTTTCGGATATTTGAAATATTTGCAAATATTTTGATTTAATTAGAATTTTAATTATCTTTTAATATATTATTTTTTAATTTCGGTTTGGTTCGAATTATTTGCAAATATTGCAAATATTTTCGGTTTAATCGAAATTTTCGGCTCAGATACGATTCGTGTTTTCGGGTATTTGTTCGGTTTGATTCGGATATCAAATACCCACATATTTGCAAATATTCCAACCGTGCGTTTACTTTTGCCTTGTGTGCTTATTTCTAAGATGAAACTTTAATTAAATATATATGTAATTAATCAAAATTAACATTACTTTAACATATGACTCTTAAATGAAAATGGGAAATTAATAATATTGTGTCCGAATTTCTAAATTTTTTTATAGATTAAAGAAAATAAAAACTTAATAGATACTACTCCATGAAATATCATAAATGGAAATAAATACAGTGCTATCAAATTCAATCGTCCATTATTGCTTTTGCCAAACCCTAATATCCTATGGATTAAACACCAAATAGTTTATGCTCCATCCGTCATGCAAATATGTGTTCATTTGATCGGACACAAATTTTAATAAAAGTGAGTAATAATTGTTACTTTTTTTTTCATAGTATAAAAAAATACAAAAATATAATAATTTTTTATTTAAAAAAAATAAAAATATTTTTCAATGACAACCAAAAAGGAAATTGAGCAGAACAACGATTTCTTTTTACAAATTCATATAACTACTTGTATTTGGTTAATTGTTGGATTTGTGGGCGAAAGTTTATATAAATATTTTTTTATATATATTTATACATAATTAATAAATTATTTTTTTAAAGAAAATCTGAATACATATAAATATATTTATTTATTAAAAAAAAGATAGATCCAATGCATAAAATATTTGAAAAAAAAAAAAAAAAGTTGAGAAGTGCTTAAAATAAATCGTCTGTAAATGGTTTTTAAGATGAAATAACTTTTTTCTTTTTTTTTTAAAGTTATTGGGAATTCTGTAATACTTAAGCACCAGTTGGGAGGAATACTGGGCGGGTGCTTTCTATTTATTTATTTTTTTGTTTTTTAATTATAAAATAATTTAATTATATTTATAAATTCTATTTTTATTTTATTTATCTTAGTTTTTAAATAAATTATATTTTTTATATTTTTGAGAGAAAAAAAAAATATATTTTTTTAAGAAATGCAGAATCCAGTAAAATTTGAATAAATATGGTTAAAGAATTATTAAATTTTAATTATTATAATACATATTTAATAATATTATAAATAATAAATAATAAAATATAATATTAATTATATTCTATGATCAAATAATAGTAATAAATTTGATTTATTATGTATTTAAAATATTATTATAAAATATATGTAAAAAATATAACACTACTAGAGTCGAAACTCCACTTCAATTCGTATATAAAAAAACTAGTGTTTCTTTATTCTGCCAATAAATTTAAAAAAATCAATATTTATTTATTTTTTATAATTTTGTGTTATACTCCCTCCGTTCTAAAATAATATGGACATTTAGGATCGACGAGAATTAAGAAATAATAACATTATACCGTGGGTATAAAATTATTTTTAAAAGACCAAAATGTCCTTACTTTATATAATTATTATGAAAAAAGTGAAAATAATTTTGTAAAAAGATGGAGAGCTTATTACAAAAATGGAAATGAAATTATTGTTTTGAGACGGATGAAAATGCCAAGACTATTATTTTGAAATGAAGGAAGTATAAAAATTTATTATTTATAAACTGATATATATTTATATATTTTTATTTTACTTTAAAAATTTATTTGATTGATATAAATATTATTATATATATTTATTGATGTGGAAGAAAGAATGTGTAATGTTGCAGAAAGAAAATATGATGTGGAGGTCCCGTAAGGATGACCAGTGGTGTGGGGGTTGACTCATGACTGTGGGTTCAAAACCCGTAAAACCCGTAACACTCTCAAGTCACCTGCCACATATGATTCGTCTAATGTTATACTTTTTTTTTTCTATTTTATTTATTTAATATAATTATTAGTATTATTTTATAGTTGGCTTGTAAGACCATCGTGTGTTTGATATTATTCCTATCTTTATTAATTTAATTTATTATGTTTTTTTGAAGTTTGACAAAGTAAGTTAATTAAGTAATTGGGTATTAGGATTTTCGTGGACATTCATCTTTAATTTATAATTAATATAAGTTGGGCTGTTGGGCACGGCTACCGTTAGAATGGGGACTTTGGTAATTAAAATTATTGGACTGAATCATTAGGTTTGATTATTGGCTTGATAGTTGAGTTTGGGATATGAGATATATACTTAAAATTTTGAAGTAAAATAATTATTTTATATGATATAAATAGATATTGAATATTATTTATTATTATCTTTTTTTTTTTTTTATGACGTGAAAATTTGCAGCCGCTACCCGAAAGTGCGCACTGGGTAAACCCCCGGCTGAACCTAATACCCTGCAAATCAGGCCCGATGGGAAAGTCACACTAGGCGAACCACGTGTGGCAGGTGACACAAAGTTTTTTTAAGAGCTTTTAGCTTATTCAACAATTTTTAAGTGATTGACCAGACAAACAGTTAATTTAGGTGTATGGTAAATTAGCTTTTTGGATATAAAAAACTAATTTTTGAAAAGCTAACTTACCCAGCGTTTTGAAATAGTTTTTTCAGTTTAAATTTTTTTATTCCTTTGTTTGTCCATAAAAATTTATTATGCATTTTACACAATAAATATATTTTGATTATTTATTAATTATATTAGAATATTTTATTATATTATAGTTTTACTTTTATAAATTTAAAGTAA